TCCTCTGAAAAACATGTCACATGCCATCAATAGAGCTGCAGCTGCATTTAACCTGTGAACAAATGTAGTTTATACACGGGATTTAATATTGACTTACCAGTTTGACCAAGATTTTTATGTATAATTTCTAATTCCTTCAGCTGAATTAGAGCTTTATTGAGAGTGCACACATTTGTATTAAAGTCAGTACTGATCTGCGTCCAGTTTTTAGTTCGTATAGAAGTGCAAATGGATGAGTAAATCTACAGCAGGAGATAGAAGAAATGTATCAGCATGAAAAGCGTTTTATAACGCATATGCTTTATCATTAATGAGAGATGTTCACAGACCTGTAGGAGGTGGAGATCATCCTCAGTCTGTGAGAGCTGTTCCAGCTCTGTGTGTCTCCTCTTTAGCTCAGAGATGTCCTGCTGCAGCTCTTTAATGAGATCTTTGGCCTGTTTCTCTGTTGATTTCTGCTGCTTCTCCATTTTCTCCAGCAGCTCAGACTGACATTTCTCAAAGGAGTGGCTTAGATCGGTGAAGAGCTCAACACTGGTTGATTTCTCTTTCTGTGAGATCAATTATAAGATTCCTCTATATGAATTTAAATTTTAATATGTATTTTAATTTAATTTAAATTTAATACGTTTATTTAAATATGGGTTCATTCAAAACCATTATAAAGCAGATAGAAATGTTAGAACACTTAATTTTAAATTATTTTATCTTCTATTCACCTTTCTCAGCTCTACTGAGAGCTGGATCTCTTGAATCTTCTTCATTCTGTCCTGGATCATCTGCTGCAAACATGTCTGTGTCTTAACGATCTGATTCTACAAACAGAAAAATACAGAAGCATTTATCTCTCAAATTAGCTTTGAATATTGATTTAAAGGGGTCATATGATGAGAGAGAGAGAGAGAGAGAGAGAGAGAGAAAGAGAGCGCGAGAGCAAGAGAGAAAGCGAGAGAGAGAGCGTGCGAGAGAGAGAGAGCGCGAGAGAGAGTGAGAGAGAGAGCGCGAGAGAGAGAGGGGGTCACATCACAAACACATACCCGCTTCATCACTGTGTCTGTCACGCGACTCTGTTCCCCTTTCGGGCTGTCTTTACATTTATTTTCAAAGATGAAGCTCGCGATTATGGTTAAGGGGCGTTACATTTCCGACGAGTGCTTGCGGTGTTCGGCCAATCACAATGCACTGGGGTTAAAATATTCTGTTACACCAAATACACAAAATAATGATCTTTAAAAAAGCATCATATGACCCCTTTAAAAAAAAAACATTTAAAGGCCCCAGGAATTCAAAATTGTGTTTTTCTATCTATTAATCCATTTCTGACAGTTTGAAGGGTAACTTGTATTTGAAAAAACCTGACAAAATCAACTTCTAGCAGATGGAATGAAAGACGGGTGAGATCTTCAACCTGTCAACACACATTGCATTTCATGGGGTCTTTTATAGTGTTTGTATTTGTTTGTATTTCTTGCCTTCTTCTCTTGACTCTCCTCCTCTATAGGAACAGTGCTGTGATTCCTGTGGTCTCCTTCGGTGCAGGACAGACACACACACGTCTGGTCATCTCTGCAGAACAACTCCAATGGTCTCTCGTGTTTCTGGCATATATAATGCTCCAGATTTTCCACAGCATCGATCAGTGTGTGTTTCTTTAGACGCGGGACTCTGTGATGTGGTTTCAGGTGAGTTTCACAGTAAGAGCTTTGACACATCAAGCAGGACTTAAGGGCTTTCTGCTTTCTTTCATCACAGATGTCACAGAACACCTCAGATCTTCCTAGCTCAAGCTTCTCCTTAAAGTGTTGCACAACCTCTCTGAGTGTTATATTAATCTTGAGATGAGGTCTTTTGCTGAATTTTTCATTACAGATTGGGCAGAAACAGCCTGGATTGGTTTTCCAGCATTTGTTCAGGCAGGTTCTGCAGAAGTTGTGTCCACATGGAGTGGTGACTGGATTATTGAACACATCCAGACAGATGGAGCACTGGAGCTCCTCATTTAGAGGACCACTGGAGGATGCCATGGCTGAAAAGGCAAACAATAACAATATACCCTCTACAATGCTGAATTGAACAGTGTAGATAATGCTAATACTGTTTACTGATATGGCCAGATATTGATACTGATATTGTTAAGTCAGACGTCATATACGTCACCGCTTCCGGGTCCAAACGCTCCATGAGATGCCACAAGAAAACAACAAACGGTGCTAATATACACTCACAGTGTAATATAAAACTAACAAACAAATTATAATCCTAACCTTTAACTCCATACCGAAATCCCAGATAGCCGGACAATGAAAATATAAATAAATATAAAAATTATTTGTGTCTGGGACGCTATGAGCACGAAGACTGTAGTGTTCACCGTAAGTTTTTAAATGTTTAGCTTAAATGTGTAATATGAATAAACAGTGCTCATTAACGGCTGTTGAGATTCTCAAATGAAGCGAGTTGAGGCTTGGACCCGGAAACAGCATTTCTTACGTCACGACTTAATAAGCGGATATGGGCATGTACAGCTTTGTAACAATATACCATGCACGGCAGGTATGGCAACAGCTACTAACAACACTTATCATTCATTATAATAAACTGGTCTAACTTGTGTGTTAACTTGTACATTTTCCTTTTCGTAAAAAACAAAAGTCGAATCACGGTCATATCTGGGCTTGTGTTTAAATTCATGTCATAGATAAGGTAAAAAGGTAACAAAACAAAAATAAATTTGATGTTTTAAAATGAAATACTGCAGTGCCTAGAAACAGCAATTTACCGTATGTCAAAGTACTTGATTGTCATCTCTGTCCTATATAAGAAAACTTTAATTCAGAAACTGTATAGGTCTTTGCAAAAACATTTTCATAATGAACGATAACACAGCAAAACGGTAAAATTGTTATTTATAAAACAGTTGGCCCACAATATATTTCTAGCCACAAAATAAACAGCAGTTATAATTTACTGTAATTTTACATGTTTTTATTGGACTGTTTTTCATTCAATCATTCATTCGACAACACATCTCGAAATTTGCTTTACAGCCAAATAAATTATATATTTTAAATATTCTGATATTTCAGAGTTTGAATTTGCATCATATGGCTTACCTGAATATCAGCTGCGATCACTAGTTTCATTGAATGAATATCTGCTTATAGAGGCTTTGGTTCTTCTTCGGTTAAATTTAAACTTCACTAAAGTCTTTCACTACTTTCATGAGTATTCACTGCAACATAGCCTATACAGAGTATGTAAAATCATAGTGAAAGAAACTTCTGGAAGATATGTCGTTTTATTTTGTTCCTTTTTATTACAGTGGCAAATATCGAGTTAAGCTATATCTCTCGATGCACAACTACAAATTGCCTGGACAACCGTCACGATCCTGAAGCGGGAATCTCAGATTTTTAAATTTCAACGGTTATTCTGACTGTCTGCCTGAGGAGAATCTGTTGGTTTGTCGAGGTAAGATATGTGAGTACTTATTTTGTTTAATTTTCATGATATAACAATTTAATTAAAAAAAATAACTTTTTAAGACGTTTATAAACAGGTAAAAAAAAATAAAAAATCGAATTTAGGAAACCGTAGGTAAAATCACAAAAAAGAGAGAAAATACTCACAGATAAGAGTTAGTGTTCTTCGCTCCGGACGGTGTGACCCAGGCCAGGACAGTCCCTTTGCATGTCACAAAGCAGATCTTTTTACAGAAATGAAAGCGAGATTCATCCTCAATAAATCTAGTTCCGAGTCTCTTCTCGGTCTAAACAGTAGGAGGCGCTGCAGATCTTCAGCCGGCTGATAAAATCTTTGAAGAAAGACAAGCCTGTGCCTGTTTACAGTTTTATTTGCATTTGGCTATTACATGTTTTTTTTTTTTTGTATTATCTGATGTTTAATCGCTGATTTCACAATTCGGATTGAATTTTGTGTTAAAATATCAGTTTTTTATTTTTTTTCTGTGAGAAAAAAATTCAGAGTGAGACAGAGAAATATATGGATTTAGGCTCAGGAAGGATCTATGAGACTGTTCTTGACTTCAACTTGTTTTTTTTTTAAGTATTTATTTATTTAATTACATTTTGTCTTTACATTAGCAGGTTAGGGCTTCCATGCTCTAAACATTACAGTAGCCTATTTAAGCTGAAATGCTTGCTTCAATGCTGATTGTTTAAATGCAGTAACTGATTTTAATTTGTTGTAAGTATCATGCCACTTTAAAGGGGTCATATGATGTTGCTAAAAAGAACATTATTTTGTGTATTTGTAAAAGTTACGCCTTCTTTCTTTGCGTGAACATTTGGGTGGCGTTATGCAAATCTTCCCACATCGTGACGTAGATATGTTGGGGGCGTGTTAGAACGAGCCGTTTTAGGTAGGTGTGGTTGACTCTTAACTTTTATAAAGAATATCTCTTTGGATTTGAGACTTTAGTCTTTGCAACTTTACAGATCTTCTTTATGCACCAAGAGCTTGTAACACTCCAAAGAGAAAGGAAAAATTGAAATCGCATCATATGACCCCTTTAAAGTGTATTTGACTGCAGCGCTGTAGTGATTAGTTTGTGTCGGCTGTACGCCATCTAACGGTTGAATTGTGTTACAAATTTGAGACATATTCCGATATCCATGTTTTATTTTACTCGTCAAATTTGAGAGTACAACCAACCATATATGGAGACAACAGCAGAGAATGACTCTGACTCTGCAACTGAGGGACGGACATTGCGTGTCCCACAGAAAGATGAGAAGTCAGATAAAGGGTGGAGGTGTATAACTTCATTTTTTTCTGTTTTGTTTTTTTTCCTTCAGGTAAGCCGCATTTAAGGAAGTTACCTAGTAATAAATCTGCATGCCATACAAGCATACCTAGTTTTCTCTCACATAAACACGCATCCCTTTTCAGATGTCTGCAATCCTCAGTCAGTTTACTATTTGACAACACTTGATGGGTGATCTGAAATGTTTTGATCTCCTGAAGTCCAATGAAGAAGCATGGATTACAGAAAGACAGTGTTTGTTCCTCAGGTAAGGACCTTTTCTTGGCTTTTTTTTCTTTCTTAATTACAGGTTTATTTAGCAAGTATTCGGTGAAAAAAAAAGTCTGTTTAACTACAACTTTTGTTGAAATAGAACAGATAATCTTTTAAATAAACTGTTTATTTAAATACACAAAATGGGTATCAAACGTCAAAAACATTTGAAAGGGCTGTAAATTAATGTAATGTTGTGAATTTGTTACAAATAAGCTGTGTTCTCACTTTCATGAACAAATTAGTGCATTTAATCTCCCTCACTGATTGACAGCTGATGACATTAAACAAAAGAAAAAAACATTGTCTGTCTCTATAATGTGTAATAAAAAGTTCAAATTGACAAGAAGCACAACCATGTGTCATATAAATTGGTGTCCACAAATCATTCTTATGTGAACTATCATAAAAAAAGTTAAACTTCCTCATTTCAACAGTTTGTTGTAAGCGAGTTAATTGTTACCAAACAATGTTGCATGGAGACTGCATGTGCTTGTCTTAAGAATAATCACAGCTCTTGACTTAAACTCTCATTGTTTCTACAGCTAAGCAACGAAATGCAGCTGAATGTCATGAACTGGGTGAAATCAGGCAAAATGAGTATCGATGAAGTTCTGATTCGGGCTAACAATGGCACGTTACACAAGCAGAGGAACTTTGAGCTGGAGGTGCAGTATGGGCTGTGTTTAAAACTCCTGACCTTCATGTTAAATGAAGATTTGAAGATCTTATCAACATTTTAAATATGTCTTTGTATTGAGTTTTTTTTTTTTTTTTAAATCATAAAATAGGTCAGCAAAATGGGTGTGTAAGTCATTCAGAGCACAGCTGGACTGAATTAGTCACATATTTTTCTTAAGAGCTTTGAAATGTTTTGACAGTTCTTTTTAAGGAAATGATTTGTTGTTCAACCAGTCTTCGTGGTACTAGCCCTAATATTATGAGCGGCTCTCTATGGTGATTGTAATCAGTCCTAGTCGAGTTTTGTAAAGTGACACTTTGCAAAGAGGAAGTATTATTAGTTATTTCTTGAACTCTTTGTTTAACATTATCATTGATATCTCTGTTGCAGGAAAAACAGTCACAGTACAACTTCAGTGTTCGTAAGTTCAACCGCTACATATGGCAGAAACGGGTGTTGCAGGTGTGTATCTACACACTGAACTGCTTTTATACAGCTCTGGTCTTTAGAAACCACATATAACAAATGCACACCTTTTTGCTTCAGATTGATTTCAGCACAAGCCTTTTGTGCAGCATTGAGAAAGGCATTGTGAAACGGCAGCTCTGTTTTTCTGAGGTGAAAAACTGCCATGATGCACCAGGTACCAGGTTCTCGATTTCGTTTAGAGATCGGTCTGACTATGAGCTGGAAGCTGCGTCCTTAGAGGACAAGCAGCAGGTAAGAACATCACATGCTACGGGGATTGAATTTCAATTCTCTACCAGATCATTAAAGGAATAGTTCACCCAAAAATGCTAATTTACTCACTCTCAGGCCATCCAAGATGTAGATGAGTTTGTTTATTCACTGGATTTGGAGAAATGTAGCATTACTAAATCACTTGCTCACCAATGAATCCTCTGCAGTGAATGGGTGTCGTCAGAATGAGAGTCCAAACAGCTGATCAAAATAATCCACAAGTAATCCATACGACTCCAGTCCATCAATTAACATTTTGTGAAGTGAGAAGCTGCATGTTTGTAAGAAACAAATCCTTTTATTAAGGCTTTTTTTTCTCAACTTCAAACCGTTGCTTCCAGCAAAAAGTCTTTGAAGCCTCTGCAGTGAATGGGTGTCGTCAGAATGAGAGTCCAAACAGCTGATCAAAATAATCCACAAGTAATCCATACGACTCCAGTCCATCAATTAACATTTTATGAAGTGAAAAGCTGCATGTTTGTAAGAAACAAATCCTTTTATTAAGGCTTTTTTTTCTCAACTTCAAACCGTTGCTTCCAGCAAAAAGTCTTTTTTTCATAATGTTATTTTTGCCAGTGAAAAAGTTATCCCATCTAAATCAGGAGAGAAATATGCACAGATCAAGCATATCTGACAACAGTCCAAAACAGTTCTAAACATAGATGTTGGTAAATTTTCTAGACTATTCCACTGGAGAAAGCAAAATAATAGATTATCAACTCATATTTGGCCAAAAGCAGTGGTTTAAATTTAAAATGCCTTAATTATGGATTTGTTTCTTACAAACATGCAGCTTTTCGCTTCGTAGAATGTTAATTGATGGACTGGAGTCATATGGATTACTTGTGGATTATTTATATCAGCTGTTTGGACTCTTATTCTGACGGCACCCATTCACTGCAGAAGTCCATTGGTGAGCGAGTGATGTAATGCTACATTTCTCCAAATCTGTTCTGATGAACAAATAAACTCATGTATCTTGGATGGCCCGAGGGTGAGTACATTTCTAGTAAAAATTATTTTTTTAAATTAAATACATAGCAAATCTGCTGCCCTTTCTAAATCATTATTATTATGAGTTTGCATGCTTATTTGATGATAATAGATCAAACTGTGTTTCTGATGACCTTCAGATCATGCAGCTGGTAAATCAGGTCATCTACAGTAACATATACAGCCCTCTTGTGAACGGGAACTCTGTTGAAATGCGAACTTCACACTTGCCTCCAACTCCTGACAACCTCAAAGAGGGCCACCTATTACTGCAGAGAGGAGGACTGGCATCATTCAAATGGAAGACGTATGCACATTTTTAACTCTGTTTTGTCTGCTTGTAGACTAGTGCTTAGCAGTTGTTATACTAGTTAGACTGGAACATGTCACAAACATCTTATCACTTTCAAATAATCTTTAGGCCATGTTTGTTAACATTTTAGTGGTGCTTACTCACTAAGACAGGCATTCTGCTGACTCAAACTTTTTTAACAAACTCCTAACCATAAGTTTTAAATCATAGTATGCTACTTTTCTAAATAATATTACATTTTTTTTTATTTTACCTAAAAACAGGTGAGAAAAAAATCCTTTAGGCTTATATTGATTCATAAATAGGAACTAGGGGCCGGATTCACTAAAAGCTTATAATGAAAGAAGTTAAGAGATTTCTTAAGATAAATATGAAGTTTGTAAGAATATTCTTAAGTGCAATCCTTGAAAAATTCAAGTTCTCAAATATTGTTCTTAAGAACATTCTATTTTTTTTCTTAAGAAGAAAATGACAGTCTTTAGAGTTCTCTGATTGACTGAATGGCTGAAGACTAAAGAAAATCACTTCAAAGGCTGTCTTTTTGCACTGCCTGCAGGTTGCCGTAATAATCATAACAAGCTATTTTCGTCATAACCCGCTTGACAGGTGTTCAGCACTTGGCCTCACATCACTGTGTATTTTATATATATATAAATTGTATATTTTATATATATTTATATATATACGATTTTTTATAACATATTTCTATTTCAAATTTTCATATATATATATATGAAAATTTTAAATAGAAATATGTTATAAAAAAATCGTATTTGATCACAGGAATAAATTACATTTTAAAATAGGTTGACATAGAAAGCAGTCCATATAAATTAAAATAACATTTCACAATATTACTGTTTTTACTGTGCTTTATAAGGTCCATTCACTCTTGTTCTTCACTCTTAGATACGAGGCTAATCTTCAGACTGGTCAGCTGACCTTGTTCCCAGTCACTCAGCAGTCTTCCAGCAGTGATGCAGGTGTGTCTGTTTCCTCCAGCGAGTCTGTCTGGAGTCTCTCAGAGATTTACGCCAGTGTGGATGATATCAGGTGTACTGGGGGTGATGGGGCAGCTCTTGTCATCCATCTCTCCGACGGTAATGTCAGGGTGGACACCCCCTGCAACACAGACACCTTCACACTGCACAATGACAAGAATGACTTTGTGTGAGTCGAGTGCACTTTCAGTGACTGATCTTGACCTCTCAATAAGTAATAGTCAAGAGAAAATTATTGTGAGGCTGAATGTTTCTCAACAACACTCTTTTTTTTTTTTTCTTTGTCAGGTTCCGAATACCAAAAAGTGACTACATAACCCCACAGGCCATAACAAATGAGCGAGATGCCTGGGTGAAAGCGATCAAACAGCTATGTGTGGACTGGAAAAGAAAGTCACATCTTGAACACTTCTATGAAGCCCCTGAAAAGGATTTCACTGATGTTACAGAGTCAGAAAGTAAGACACAGGACAACCACGTGCCGCTTGCACCTCCACCGGTGCCACATTCACTGAGACCACGCTTGCCCAAAACATCCCCGAATGTTCCAGCAGCACCAGAGCCAGAAACCGCTTCCCTGGAAGCATCAGAAGCAGAACCGAAGCCAACCCTTACAGCACAGAGCAGAGCTGTGCGCAAGCCAGGCCGGACGCCCTCAGCAGTGCCCGTGACCTCACCAGTGGCCACATGCTCATCACCGGCTCCGTTTGTTCTGCCCCCGCCGTTGCCTGTGCCGTCAGCAGTGCCAGGTCCTGCCCCTCCTGCCCCTTTGCCCCCTCCTCTGCCCATGAAATCCAAGCCGCTTTCAGAGAGGACAAAAGCTTTTCACTGGGACCTGGTGGCTCAGGATAAGGTATCAGCTTATGCATTCTGTTTTATATTTGGAAGGGCTCCAGATTTGGCAGATTTTTGGTCAGACCAGTGTCATTGAGATACTATTATAGTTATTTTGAATATGTTTATTTTTTATTTTTCACATTTTCTGTTTTCATTTTAATTTTAGGCAACCTTTTAGCATTTGTTGTGTTTTATTATTATTATTATTATTATTATTATTATTAAATATGTCTATAATATATATAGTTTTTATTTTTCATAGTTTTTATAATTTTCATTGTCATTTTTTAAGTTTTAGTAAATATTTTCAGTTTTCGTTAATATATATACATTTTCATCCAGTAAATTAAATAGAAATGAGAAATGTTGCTTTGGCAACTACTTGAAATAAAATATGTAGTTATAATTTTTTTTATATAATGTATATTTTATTTCGGTCAACGTTTATTTTATTTAAAGTAACGAAAAAGTTTTTTAATAGTGTTAGCTTTAGATGTAGTTAACTATAATAACCCTGGGTCAATCAAAATACCATTAATAAAATACCATTAAGCATTTGTACAATATCAAAATTGCTAAATTAATTGCTAGTTAATTATTTAAAATTATGAATTATGAGCATGTATTTGAAGAAATCTCTTGTGCCCACCAATGTTGCCTTTATATGATCAAAAATACAGTAAATTTATTTTAGCTTCAAGTTTTAGTGGTAGTTAAGTACAATAACCCTGTTTGACACAAAAATTGGATTTAAAATGCAAATGACAGTTTTTATTTTTGGTGAAAAAAAAAAGCCCCTACATGGTGTGTGTGTGTGATGTTGTTTGCTTATGAATTCACTAAAAAGAGTAATTCAACATTGCATATTGCAAACGCAGCATGGTTGTCTCATCAGTGAAATAGTTGTTGCGCTAAATCTGTTTCCTAATATGTGATCATTTTTACGCCTGCTGAAGATCACTTGCATTCAAGGCAATGTCTTGATATGAATATGCATTTGCAGATCGAGAAGTCAATGTGGTCTCGCAGGAACCCCAGGAAGATTGAAATTGACTCCTCGCGCTTGTATGAGCTATTTGGAGTGAGAGAGAGGGGCCGCGTCTGCAGATCAGAGTCCATCAGTACTGTGGAAATCATGTTGAACTCAAAGATCGCTCACAATTTCAGTAAGTATTTATACGTTTTTGAAGATTCTCTTGAATCTTTTATCCAGCAACTATGAGGTTTTGACCTCTCAGGTCATTAGCCAAAATCTTTAAATCCTTAAAACTACCCTTTTGCCCTTAAAATATAGAAAACCACAACCAGGATATTTTTCAAAAATGTTTGGAAAGGCTTGAGGACGAGTAAATCATGGCAGATTTTCATTTTTAGGCGAACTATTCCTGTAAAGTAAGAGGATCACGGCCTTATGTTGTTGCTTGAGGAGAAATGTCAGGCCGTGGCTCGTTATAAATGGTGTATTTGTTGTAGAAGTTGTGGAATCAGTCATGGTGGGTGGGTTATTGATCTCTGTGGAAGTATTAGAGCAGCAACAGAGAGGACCATTAAAAACCACTCGTGGATTGATTTTGAATAACAATAGATCTGACAAAACAATTTGCACATAGTTTAGTCCTCAATAGATTTTAAAGTTTGAAAACACACTATGAATTAAAAAGCAAGCTTTTTAGCAGACAGCCATACCGATTACACTGTTTCTTATGCTTATGTGTTTATTAATGGTGTTTGCTAAGGCAAACCTCACTGTTAGTGTCGTTTATACGTTTTCACAACCCAATTTGTGCTTCAGACATGAATAATAGCTCGAATTTTGTGACTTATTAGGAGAGGTGTGCAGGATTTTTCCCAGGCAGATGATAAAACAGGCAAATATTGTAATTCAAGTTACATTTATTGATGTATTTTCAGGTTTTCCTGTACTGTACAGCTCATTGATATATAATATATATATATATATATATATATATATATATATATATATTGTAAGCCTAAAAGTCTGAGATCACATTGAAAATCTGACTCAAAAGCTAATTTAAAGGGATGAAAAATGAAAATTTACTTACTCTACACTTGTTCCAAACCTTTGAGAGTTTCTTTCTTCTGTTGAACACAGAAGAAGATATTTTGAAGAGTGTTGGTAACTTAAAAAGTTCACGGTAGCCAATGACTTCAATAGTTTTTTTTCCCCCTACTATGGAAATCAATGGCTACCGTCAACTGTTTGGTTACCAGCATTCTTAAAATATTTTCTTTTGTGCTCAGCAGAAGAAAGAAACTCATATAGGTTTGAAACTATTTTAAACCTTTAAACCTAAAAACAAACCTTAGATTTTGCATTTTGACAAAATTAAAGCAAATCTGAGTTTTACTTACACTACTGGTAATATAATGTGAAAGTATGAAGGTAGAATGACGTCAAAAAGATGTGCATACGCAGGGTAAGAGTTGTGGAAGTGTACATAAGACTGTAAGCATAAATTAAATTTGCATGCGCAAGAGAAGCTTTGTAAAGGTGTAAATCGCGTTTCAAGCGCAAGAAAAAATATTTGCAGCATTTTACTGTTATTCGTAAGTGTAATTCATGTATTGTGAAACTGCAGCTTCATGCTAACGCAAAATAAATATGATCTGCATGCTTCTGACTTCCATTTTTCCGCGCTTACACTTTTGGCACGTTTTTTTCGCCAAAAGACGGTCAAAAGCACTGCAAGCCTGTGAACAGTGATTTGCAAGCGAAAACAACAGTTTAAAGAACCGCAAAACAGATTGACTGCATAGAACCAATCTGTATGTGTAAAAAAACTAACTGTTGCAAATGTCTAAATGACTTGTTGTGCATGTGGGGCAAAAAGTTCCCGAAATAAACCGATATGTACAGCTCCGTCTTTCTTTTCTCTGCGCTTACAGTTTTGGCACTGTTCTCTCACTAACTGAGTTTTGCAAGCGTGAGGGGGAGGGCGGGGCCACCTTCTTCTTGTAGCCAATCAAATGAGCCTCTCGCTGACTCTCCATTTACTCTTATCTGATTGGTCCAATAAACACATCATACCCAAGACATTAATCTTCATTTAGTTCAGGATCGTTCTTGCTGCCGGAATGGTACTTTTAAC